AGAGAGAGAGAGAGAGAGAGAGAGAAATGACCTACAGTGGGAAGAGATGGGTAAGAGACAATAGGAAATAGTAAAAAGGACACGGAGGTTGCCTAACTCCCTTTTCCATTTATTTCTACCGCCAACCGCCTACCCTGTTCCACGGTCTCGCTTCCTCTCCCCAACCCCCAACAAGGAATTTCGCGTTTCTTTAACTATTAAACAGCGTCCTAATACCTTACGGTTTACGGTGACGATATACAGCGATAACTACTGTCACCTAAAATCGTTGCCCTTTTTATCGCGTTGCGAAATTGTTCAGGCGATACGTATACCATTAAGGCGTTCAGGCGAATACCATTAAGAGTACAGCGATATTGTTCTCCGTTTACATTTCCTTTAGTCTTTTTATTTTCCCTCTCGTTGGTTCGTTAATAACTTGTTCACAGTTGAGAATACAGAACGCGTAAAAAGTACAGAATAGGTGAAAGTAGTAGGTATTCGCGTGTTTAATGTAATGCATAGAATGGCATTACGATTAGAGGTAAATAGAGAGCATCGACGAAATTCTTTTTGAATGAAACTCTAGTTAAAATATATATAATAACAAATTTAAGGAAATAACGTGGATGTAGATTGGGCGTAGCAATATAAGACGCCCATATAATATAATATAATAATATAATATAAGTAAATTCTTATAAATAAAGAAAAATTGGTGTCGATTGGTTCCCAAGCGTGTCATTGCGCGTTATATCGCAAACTTAATTAACGTTCAAACGTTGTCAATTCTATCTGAAATTCTGAGAAATACTAATTTTTCAACTTTCTGTGCGTACGCATCATTTAAGAAGGCTGAATTTAACAAATTTGATCATCTTTCGCGAGTAAATTTTCTTTACTTTTTAAAGTATTACTTAAAGTGTTGTTACTTAAACTGTTACAACAACGAGAAGAAATTACTTTGAGATGAAAAAGTATTTGGCCAACTACTTCTTCGCTGTTCCACCTTCTACATGTTATATACGTGTGTACACAGATTCAGTTAGTTCATAGGCAGAAGCAAACAGTCTCGCGACCCTACCCTATGTACGACCTGTCGTCGAAGTCATCCCCCTGGCACGTTTCCGAAGCTCGCGAAACCCCCGAAACCCCGCGGAGAAGTGTAAATGCGCTTTGCCAAACAGCGATAAATATTCTCCTCTTCTCGCTGGAAAATTATCGATGCGTTGACGTTAAACTCTTTCCCCGCGGAAAGCGAATCTCTTGTAATTTTTGACTACCGAGAAGAAACGTAAAGAGTAAAGAGTTACGCCGATCCGTGTGTCTTGAGATTTACTGGGCAAACTTGCCGAATAAGTATACGGCCGCGGCGTGTCGTTCTAATGCCAACGTCAACTTTGTCTTTACCGCGAAACACAATGTACGTTATAAGATTAAACGGTCGACTACTTTGTCCGTACCGCGCGTGCCAATGGCGAGATTCGATTGCTCGCTTGTCAATAGTGTGCAAAAGTGATTGAAAACTCTGGCCAAGAGGACTCTTCTACAACGTCTTGATCAAAGCAGGCAGTGGTTTACACCCTGCGGCGCGGCGTGTACGGCTACCCTCGTAAAACAAGCTTGCTGCCCTGCGATTCTGCTTGATGCGTTATATGCTCGTGTAGAAGAAAAACGCATGGTTCGTACCGACGTGAGCAAGAAAATGCCATCGAACGGAACAAGTTTATTCGGCCTGAATTAGAAGCTGAACTAGAGGATGAACCAGAGAAATGGAAGAGGCCGATTTTTCGATCAAATGTCAATGCCCTGTTTCCAAACTGATTCTTTGTTATCTCGTTTAAATTACTTTTATGTTGAAATTTCGTAATCCTGTAATTCGGAATCTTTCTCATCGGTAGTTGTACGGTAAACGTTTTACGACAATGGTGAATCCATTATTAACCAAGGAATCGAAGCGACGATCTCTCTCACGTCCAGCGAAATATCGATTAAATATTTCGATATTGTAATAAATGTTTCAAGTATCGTGTGAAATTATTCTCAATTAATTGGTAGTTCAATTTTCTAAACGAGAGCAGCTCTAGATAATCCGTAACGAGAATAACCCGGCTTGTAGGGTTCTCTTTATTTTACAAGTGGTGAAACCACCATTTCTAAAATAGATGACGCTCAAAATAACGATAAATGTCGGAAAGCTTTGGAAATTTGATGTAAATCGCAAGATCAGAATCGCAAGATCGAACGTTTGAAGGAGAGGAAAAAAAACAGGTAACAAGTTAAAAAGCATGCACAAACGAATATTTTCATTAGCCTTGTCGAATCGTTTATTCGCTTAATTATCTTTTATTAGCGAATAATTATTTTATGTAGTCCCGTTAAAAGGAATTTAGCTTTCTTCCAAAACGTCTGCGATTAGTATTTCAAATAGAAAGTGCCTACTCGTGAGAGTGTTGGCTGCAACGAGTTCCATGAATGCAGATTACACGGCCGCGTCGAGTCGACAAGATCGCTTCTTTCTCTAGGAAAGTAGATTCATTTCAGAAGAGACAAGAGATAAAAGCTTGAATATAGGAAAAGCGTCTTGATAAACCAATATTCCGCGCCCGTGTTACCTACGAATATGTACAAACTAATACTAAACTAATTCGACGTAAAACTATTTACTATTAAAAATACGATCTTAAATCAATCAATACGAATTAAAAGTATAATCTTTTATCATGCTAAACCGTAGCGTATCCTATAATAGTAATTTTATCCTATATCCTCGTGTTATTTGTTCTTTTTGTTTATGGCATTTTTCAATTTCTATTTTGAGAATTGGAGTAACTGAAAAAGAAGCGACGCGATGCAGTATCTATCGATACTATTTTTGCAGAATATAATCTGCTGCATTCGTGCACTTGCGTGTACGTAAATGAAACGCGCCAGACGAAGCGCATAGTGTTGTATTAACCGTTTCTTATTCAAATAGTAAACTAATCGTAGGTAACGTTTATAGACATATAAGGTATAATAGACATATAAGAAGAAATAAGATGGATCTAAGAATAGACTGGGCAATTTCAAAATATTTTATTATATTTCAGATATCGGACTAGGTTGAAAGCATGATATCCACGCGTTAATTTCAGACGTTAATTTTTGGACAATCGACGTTTCGCCTGTATCACAACCGTATTCGGAACTTAATTCGAACTTGCAATTCATCCTATTCGAATCTCGCAATACACGCCCGTTCGCGCATTGTATCCGCTTAAACAGTGCGTGACCCGCAAACAATCGCATCGCGTTCCGCCGTCTTTCAAAATCAACTATGGTCAGTTCGGTTTAATTTTCGGCTGGGCATCGGCAAACTTTATCATTGCATTAATTACCGTGCGTGCTGGCTCGTGTTTGTTAATGTTGCACCCTCTCGCGCGCATTTGTTTACAGGCAGGAGTAAACGTTGCGGTTCGCATAATAATCTGCGTATCGCGTATTTATGAACGAATCCGTGCAAGTTTCTCCGTTTCCAGGAAAGGACGATATTTCATGATATTTCCCGATATTTGCCGCAGGAGAACGGTATTCACGGAATCTGACTTCCGTTTCTAGGTGACGATAGTAGCTCAAGTTTGAATATCTCATGATCTAATAGAAGGAAAAGGGCCTAAGAAACATCAACTTAACTATAGACAATGTTGCGAGAGCCGAGGCGCTGTCGGGTCTATTAAGGTGTCCTCGGTCTTTACAAGTGCCTAGTTTCGTTAGAAAAAACCTACCTGACCCTGGCTACGAGCGTCTGCGGAACACGTGTGCTTGGGCCTAGCAAAAGACAAAAGAGATGCGACAACGGCCAGAGAGTTAGTTGAGAAGCAGAGTATGAGTCGACGTACGACGATATTGTAGTCGGTTCTGTTGTTATCGAGTATCGCTTATTAAACTACTCTAAACTCTAAATCTAGCATCATCACTTGCCCTTACTCTAAGAATCCATACGTTACTACATCTTTGTCACCCATGTACTATATTTTTATATACTTTATAGAGAGAAATTTCCCTAATTTTCAAAGTGACCTTGTTGCATCTCGAAAGAAACACTTGGTCTTAAAAGTCAAGGATCAGCCGTCAACCGTTAAACGTCGAGCAAACGCAAAACGTCCTGTTTACACGTTCGTACCGAGTTTAAAATCACGTTGTTCGAAAATGGTTTCCCAATGGTAGAAAGCGGGGCGCGAGAACGCAGCAATTTGTAGCGCACCGCTAGCCCAGGGGGAAATCACTGGCTTGTGTATACCTTATGCACAACCGTAGGGGGTGGAGCACGATAGTGTACAGTACATCGGTGTATGCACCGTACACCCCGGACCGCGGAGGCGTTAATAGCTGAAGGTGGCTACCGGCAGCGCTTAATATGATTGACAGCACGAGCGTGGCTATGGCATATTTAGTGCGGCCAAACTCGCTTCTATAACGCGGTTATCCCAAGTTTAATTACTCTAACAGATATTCCGGAAACGTCGATAGCGTTTGGCCGGTGAATATTCCGCGAAGAATGCATCCTGTTGAATTTAATTGTCCTGGATGACGCGACGGTACGCGGTACAACGGCAAGGGTTGACTTTGCCTTGAACAAAATTAGATAGCGCGATAGATAGTACAAATAGAAGTATACGATTGCAAGACTAACGATGTAAATGAAAATTCCTGTGAATCGTAAGCGCACGAAAAACTACTCACGATAGTGCAGGGTGCAACTAAAGCAGGGTAAACTCGAACGTGATCTTGAACGTAATCTTGAACGTAATCTTGAACGCAATCTTGAACGTGATTCGAGCGTATTCGATGAAGACGAGAAACCGGGTTTCTAAGCAGAACCGCGTGACTAAATTTCCTCGAGTAACAAAGAAATCAAGAACGGGGAATGTTCTGCCTTGACTGCGACTGCGAGAGTTCTTTTAAACATTCGACTCGTTCGGCCAACCACAACACGGAATATATCATGCCCTTAACCTGAATTTCTTTTTTCCAATTACCTTTCAAGCTGCAGGTCGATATGGAACCGGAAAGGGTCTTGGCGTGATTGGTCACGGCCAACAGCAGAGGCGTGGCAGTGATGAAGCTCTTCGACTTCGGCACGAACCCCTTCTGCACCGCATAGCTACGTGTGCGTCGCCGGAAGATCGGCGAGTCGAGGAAGCTGTCGTCGTACTGTGGCATTTTAAGAAGCTACTATTCCATTAAGAACCACGATGGATCCTCGTAACACGGATCACAATCGGTGTTTGTTGTTTCACTGGGTTTTTCGAGCACAATCCTTTTTCTCATATTGTACCAACGATAAAGCACATTGCACAATTTGACGGGTAACTGGATCGAGTCATCAGCGATTTGGAAATTTGTGGATGGTAGTCGGTCTTTCTTGAAATTGCTGTTTACACAGATTCTTTATTTACCACTGCCGCTACTAATATTTGAGCATTTGTCTTTGCGTAAACAAAGGAAGAATGTTTCATTGATTTCAACGGAGATTTATTAATTTTTCGTTGAAACGAAAGCGTTAAGAGCTAATCGCCACTGGCTATAAGAATGAATTGTTTGATAACGACGCAATGGTAAAAGCGATAAAGCGAAGCAGCACCGCGATAAATATACCAAGTAGCACGCGAACAATATATATCGTAGACGCAGGCTGACGGTTCTTTTTTTATTTCTCATTCTATCGTATAGCACGTTGTACCACGAATTCGTTCGATTTAACGCAAAAACATCTCGATGATCCGTTCTTTCAACAGACACACACATACACACGTTAGAGAACGGTAGTACCGGACTATAGTTATCGATGATCACTATCGAACAACAGCAACGTTTCTTAACGTAAGCTTATTAAGAAACACCCGTATGTAATTATACACGCATGATCTCACGAATAGTAGGTATATTTAGCAAGCGACTACAAGTTCATGCTGTATACTGTAAACAGATAACACCGGGCGACGATACACCGTTTCTTGAACTTTAATTCTACGCTGACAACGAGTGGCGGATAATTTATAATTGACGATAAGCGATATAATTTTAAGATACGGTTGTGCTTGAAGAAATGCGATTATTTAGGATTTAGAGTAATTCGCATAACGGTTAATAGGAAATTTCCAAGCTCACTGGAATATATATGGTATATATGGTATGTGAAAATAGGAAACGAGTGAATTTTGAAATGTTTTATTTCGTAATTTTAACGTGCTCCGTCGTATTTTATCATTTTATCGTACAAGTGAATCGAAGTAAATTTTAGATGCGTGTAGTTTAGAGTAAAACGTTCGAACGGTAAGAATTGCAACGAATTCGAACGGAGATTCCACTGTGCTTCGTGAAATGATCGTTGAACGATACAGGTAGAAAAGCTGAAAAAGCTTAAATCGAGCCACACCGATGACAGTACCGCGCCTAAATATACGTACAATGTTACATTTAGCGGCCTCGAGTACATATGTATATATGTACTATAGCAAAGTGGAGTATGTACCGAGGCAGATTCGAATTCCAGGATGTCTATTTTAACGCGACGGATCTTCCGTTACGATTTCTTACCGCGCTTCCTAGTTTTTCATGCAACCTCGTAGATACAGTAACACGATATTACCGTTTGCTCTATATGCTATTATCGTGTAAATGCAATAATATAAAATTCAATAGTACGAATAGCCTGCTACTACTGACAGCATCAAATTATTTCCAGCGATGTTTTTATAATATATTTATTTGGTTCAACGTTCATGTTGGGAAAAGACGAAAGCCGCGACAAGCTCCGGCGTAAAACGAATGTCTTTAATGCTAGGAAACGTTTCAATGCAATGGGTTTCTAATTTGCTCTTTTTTCTTTTTTTCCTTTTTCTAGACACCGAGCAGATCGATGTACCCGCGTTGCCTGATAAGCTGTGAAATATAACCCACGACTCGTTTAAATTCGTTTAAATTCTATAACAATAATAGGAAACGTTTGAATCTGCTACGTTGATACGAGATGCCTTACAAACACTAGGGGCGGTGGATATTTAGCATAAAAATCTGCCAACGTGAAACAAAGTTTTAAGTTTCTAATTACTTTGCAATTCCAAACAGAACTTATCTTTCCAATTCTTTAGTCACCTTCAAAAATCAATAAGAACTCAAACTCTAACTAAACAAGTCGAAAATCTTCTAATAAAGCGGTAAAATATTTCATCGTAAAATATTTCATCAAAAATCATGAATACGTTCTAACAAACATTCGTTAAACCATATGATCTTGATCATATTGATTATGAAGCTTGATCAGACTGGATCGAGTTTATGAAATGGAATTACCGGTTGATAAAAATGTATCGATCAAGAGCCGCGCTGTACGTAATACGTAGTACGTATGATATAATGTGAAGCGGCGAGATACTTGGAGATTCCGTCAGTTTTCACGACAAACGATCCACGGTTGCTGGAGCGGCAAGTCGACCTTTTCTCCACCTTCAACCGCCCTGATCGCGATTCCGCCATCGCTTTTTACCGCTTTCCGAACGACTATGATTCGATACAAGACCAGGAGGTCGATCGTGTAACGTAACTAGTTCCACGCTGGACTGAACACAAGGACCAAGTTTTTCTGGCTTACTTGCTCTCGTTAAATTATCGAGTTTTCTGGCCAAATTTATACATACGAGGCAACGACTTCAAACCTTTGTCGAAGAAATGAAACGTGGTTGCCTCGTTAGGTAACCTATTGGTGAAATAAGGGTGAAACGAACCGTAAAAAGAACAAAAATGGGTGATACGGTGGATATATGTATGTATTGTTATAAGCTAGATAATGCAAAGAGAAAAAGAAATACGGTGTTTGAAAGACACATGCGGGGTAAAACAGAAAATAGATACATATAGAAAACAGTGGATAAAATGCGCACATATTCAACTAGAGAGGAAATATTTTATTTATTGATACGTACGTATGTAAGTATAGTGCTATATCTTAATGTTTGGAAACATACAGATTTTTCTATTATTAACAGGTATGTCGACAATAATTTTCACGTTTCTCCTACTGTTAATAACGCGACTGAATGAAAAACTGATCATAGTAACGAAACAGTGGCAAAGCTTATGGAAAACGAAGCTTGGTAAAATAGGACATTCTTCCGAGAACTAGTATCATATTGCACGGAAGGACGAACATTTCTTTAAGTAAACTCCAGTTAAATTAACCGCTTGGTATGCACACAGGTGATATATCACGAAACGCTCTAGGTCAGCCTAAAAGTTACTTACTCTTTATTTGTAGTACGTTTTATGTTTAGGATTGGTCGAAAACTGATTTTTACCCTCAATATTCGTAACTAAAAGCACATAAAATGTCTCATATATCTAATATTTGTATGTTTATAGGTGTCATTTCGGATAAAGGAAAGAGAAAGAGAGAAAGATTTATTTCTAAAAATACAACGTATTCTGTGTTTAAAATCTTTTAACGCGGTTAATCCCGTCGATAAAAATAAATTTCTGTTATTTGGAGGAGCCCTACTACTCGAGAGATATGCAAAATATCTCGTCTATAAACGTAAGAAGAAATGTAAGAATCTGTATTGAAAGTGTTAAAGTAAGTAAGTGTCAGCTCTAAACGTGAACGTTTAGAGAAACGTCTGAAGCACGATAGAACCACGATCGACGATGCTCTCTTAGCAGTACGTTGTCGAATAACAACAAATTAGCCGACTTTGGTAAAGTACCAACGTCCTAACCTAAACCCAAGAACAATCTTGACTACAAACCGGTGCAATTATTTAGCATACTCTTCGACAGCCTTGTAATTATGCAGAGCCGCGGGAATTTCGCGACGGACCGAAACTTCCTGATTAATAATAATCGTAATTAGCGATGATGAAGTTGCGACCCAGTTATACTCGGCTTCCTGTCACGTCTAAGACTTTGCATTATTTTTCGAATTGGACGATCCATTGGTGCGATTCGCGCGATTTTCTCTTGCGTTTGACGTGGAACGTCAAGATCGATAGGACTTTTAGCGTGGAAACAATAAGAGGAGTTAATGCTGACCAGCGAACGAAAAATAAAATCATAATTTTTAAATAAAAATTTATCATCCTGGACTGGTTTTTTTATTTCCTTCCATCTGCCCCTGGTGTTTTTGTTTCTCCTCTGATCTTTTTTTAATCCGTTTACGGCCGATTAATTCAGTTAAATTTTATTCTTTCTAATTAAATTTCATTGGTTTGCACGATTAAGACACGGCCAATGACAGAATATTTAAATGCAACTAACGACACACAACTTCCATATTATAGCATATAGAATCTATTAGTTATATAATAATTAAATAGTTTGACTCTGCTGTTGATACGATTATCTCGTTTTATCCGTTAATCATCTTTGTCGCAATTTTGAAATTGCTTAATTGATTAAATTATCTCGGCTGGAAAAACGTTTCTCTTTAATTCATTGAATTAATGAACGAATTATTTCCAAAGTTTCCAAGTGGGTTGCTGTTTAATTGTTCAAAGAATGAAAAGTAATCGCTTCGATGTCGCTTATCGTCGTCATCTTTGACCGCAGAACGTCGTTCGCACGGATTAAAACGCATATCGGTCGCTGCGCCGGCTTCTATTCAGCTAACTAATCGGGCCTTGATCGTTTATTACGCAGCATCTATGCGCCGTTTGCTCCAGATCGTCTGACGTGTCGCGATCTAGGTCGTCAAGAGCATCGCGTAGATCTTTTAATCGCCACTTTGCGGAAAAACACGCTCGATCTCAGCGAAACGAAACGAAACGGCTGGAGCGAAGGATTCGACGATATCGGTTGATCGGAACGTTGGTTACGCGAATCCGTAAATTGCGTACGACCGCTTCGGTTTGCTTATGCACATGTCGCGACATTTTCGCGAGCGAGCTCTAACGTAAGCGAGATGTTTGCGCGTTAAAAATCTGTGCGACGCGACGTCGTGTCGTCACAATGCCGAATTGACTCGAACCGCTGGAATCGCTCGAATTGTAAATGCCGACAATGAGTAAACGACGGTGTATAAATTCGGCAATTAACGATTAAGTATTTCGATAGGAAGACCTGCGAAATGTCCAATGTCTTCAAGGGCGAATTTATCAAGTCCATAAAGAAACAATTAGTTTTAACTTTTCACTTATTGGATATTGAAATACATGTATAAATGTTATTAAGCGAGACGGACAATATTTTTTTAAATGATCGAGAATTATATTTATCATCGTTTTCTAACTATAACGTAGTATAGAACATTCGCTCTGTTTAATGGTTCAGTACGAAATATATTGAATTTTATATTTTATATCATATAATGGTTTTTCCACTTTTTTCAAAAAGTTCCGTTTCGGAAAAGGAGACGAATCAGATGACGAATTGAGACGATTCAACGATCGACTTTTTTATCCATTGATTCGTGTTATTTATTTGGAGAGAAATGGTAAGAAAGGCTTGATGAAATGGCGGAATAAATAAGCTGTGATTGTATTAAAACATAGTCTGGATTACTTGCGGAACCCGAACGAAGAAAAACAACCAAGATTAACTATTAAATATAAGACGGAATTTTCGTCCAAGTATTTGATTAAAAACATGCGCTCGACGCGCCACTAAACTTTAACTGTGACCAACGTTTTTTACGCGGCTCTACGTTACATATGTATTCTTCTTGTATATTTTTTCTTTCTCACTATTCTGATCATGAGATCACTTAACCGTTCGATGAATTTTCATATTTTCGTTGAAACGTTGTTGTTCTTTTTAGTGAAACGTGTACACACACAAACCACATGCAATACTAGCAATTTATGTGATAATCTCTCTCCATATAGTATAATTAGAAAAATGATGTCAGCCTTATCTATGCTTTTCACTTTATTCGGCAAATTTATTCGAATTTCTTTATCTTCTCTAAAAAAAGAATCATTATAAATAAATCTTACGATCCATTGACAAGCATCATCGGCAGAGTCAGTCCCATGCCACTTTCATTCATCGCATTTTATTCGTCGTTCAACATGAACCACCGCTGTTATTTGATCTCGAAAACAGGTATTGCACGAACGAGTGAATAACGAGTAAAACCGAGCCACCGATCGAACAAATCAACATTAGTTGTTACTGCGACACACTTTTACGTTTAAATATAAACGTTACTTGCATTGAAAATTTCGTTTTCAAACACCAAAAGTAAGTTCTCAATTTTCTTCGTCGCACATCCATTTCGAACTCGTCGATTTTAAAGAAAATCCACTTTACACCAACTTAGTAAAAATGAGTTCTAAGTGAAGAAGAAGGAACGTCGAGCAATTGTTTACTTGGTGTAACTAGGCACAGGAATTATCCTAGAGCTTCCAAGTCGTCGATCGTGAAGTGATTCGCGATTGTTCGTGGAAAAGAATCGAGAGCTTTACTTTCAACGACTAACTCGATACACGCTGTTCCCGAGTTTTGAAATGCTCGAGAATCGCCACGAAGCGATAAACCGAGAAACCGTGCTTTTCGCGTAACACCAGATACTGTCCTAAAATCCTCGATCGATCGGCAAAGATTATTATCAAGATGTATAAAAAATACATTAATATTTACTACATCTGCAGGTTTTTACGTAGGTATTTGATATTCACCACGACGAAAGGCTATGAGAAGATAAA